CAGACGAACCGCCGCCGGAAGTGAGTGCAAAAGGAACGGCCGCCGGTTCTGCCTGCATAGGATTGCACGTGTGGAAGTAAGAGGGAGAGACAGGGTCCAGTCTGTGGAGAGTGCAAGCCAGCCACACCTACATTCATTACAGCTCTGGTGGGGAGAGCAGCAACCAAGTCGAGATCAATCCCCCACGCACTTTACGTCATCTTCGTTTACAACGAACCCGATATTTTTGAAGGTTAGGGTGTCGAGGGTTAGCACTGACCCTCTGCCTCTTACTTGGTTGCAGACTGTCTGCATTCATTCTATGTTTCCACTACGTAGCACTCGGGGAGGCAAAGTAAAGCACTCGAGAAGACCCCTAAGGGTCCATGTACCCATATAGAGATACATGAGCCCCAAAGTACCTATATGGGGACTACATTAAGGCCAATGTATATACTACAAGAGTACATGGACCCTTATACCCTAAACCCTTCTAGATCCCTTAAAGGATCCCTTATGGTACCCTTAAAGGACCCTTGTCTATATGAGTACATGGACCCTTAGGGGACTGTAATGTGTCACGTCCTTCTTCAGGAATTGCAGCTCTGGCATGGAGCCACCACGTGGTTCATAGGGTTTAGGGTTTAGGGTTTAGGGTTTCCGAAAATAGGGGACCCTAAAATAATACCCCCTAATGGTAGGATCCTTATTATAAGGACCCCAAATAAGGTACCTATAATTTTCCGGAAACTCCCATATGCATTTAGTTTAGGGTTTCGGAACAGATACAACCGATGACGCAAGTGGCAGTGGAGCCCTCAATTTAGGGATCTCACTTCATGCTGCGCTCACAAGCCTCTTTCTGGTTGGAACCCTTACGATAACCCTTATGGAATCTGTAAGAACCTGAAGGAACAACTACGCTGTGACTTAGGTGAGAACTTTCTGCTTACGCTGCCGGAGAAGACGGTGAAACTCATCGATTTCGGACACTTGGAGCAAGGGGATTAACCCTACAGCCGTCCAAGGTTGAGGGTTCTGTGAGGGATCTTGCATGAGGTTGCTAGGGGCGTCAAGAGTCCTAAGTACCTGGTTTTTAGGCAGTTAGTTTGGTTTTCAGTCTCTTCAAATTGTAAGCTGGACGTATCGTTATTCGGTACTTGGAGGCTCACGGTTAGCTTCCAGCCCACGCGCCGGCAACATCAAGGTTTGGATGTAAACATCAAGGGCTCCCGATGTTCGGGCGGATGTTTCAGCCTCGAAGCTCAGAAATCTGCTGTCCCCATCCCGCACGATGTTAGCCTCATTCCGAATTACTTCTAGGTCTTGTCCCGTTTAGGTCTAGCACAAGGTGTATCCCTATCCCGTCCAAGGACCTCATAGTTAGGGCCCTAGACCCCTTAAGGACCCCATAATAAGGTCCCTGGAGGCAGGGTTTCGGAAATCTTTGCCAAAACCGGCTTGAGGCACTGCGCGGGATACCGAGAACCCAGAGGCCAATGTGCCCAGTGCGGACCGTCGCAGATGCGTCGGAGTAGAGTTACCTAGTAGTAGAGTAGGAAACCTTTAACCTCTTTTGGGTAGTATAGCCTCTACCCCAAGGGACCATGTACCCATATAGAGATACATGAGGCCCAAAGTACCTATATAGGGACTACATTAAGGCCAATGTATATACTATATGAGTACATGGACCCTCAGGGCTATATTATCATCCCTATATAACCAACGAGGTAAACTTTTAGTTCCCCATGATACCCGACAAGGAGGAGTTCGGTTTTATGGTTTAGGGGATTCGTGATGTAGGTTTAGGGCTTCTACAAGGTTGTTGAGACTGACACTTATAAGAAGTGGATGCAGATGCTCGGGTCGATTTTGCATATTTTTGAGATGCGGTAGCGATCCAGACTTGCAGTTTAGGTGCAAGAGTTTTGTTTCGGACTTTCGGAACTTCGTGGATCACCACACAAGTTTTTGTTGGGGGTTGCGTTGTTGTAGGTGGTTCATTCTGTTTCTTCCGCCTGCGTCTACCCAATCGGTCAGGCAGTACCACCGACACCACCTCAACAGCAGTAGTCGTCTTTTCAAACCCTCAACCCTGAACCCTACCTTAACCCCAAATACCCTACTGCCTTTTTGGACTTGTTTTAACAAATCATGTTAAGGAGCCCTAAAATGGTAGGTTATTTGGGGTGCAGGTGAGCCTTAAGCCTGATAGAGGTCAAGACCATGATGCTGGGCCCCCAGTACGAGCACCACGTGGGGACACCCAATTTCATGGCGCCCGAGGCAGTCGATGGCAAGGCAAGTTCAGAGCGTAGAGCGCACGCACACATGCACCTAGCTGTCCATATGTCTACCTGTTTATCTGTATGTAAAAACAAACAAACATGTGGATATACATATATATATATATATATGTACACATATTCACATGTAATCGCACATGTACTGAGACTCTTGACTTGCAGTTCCTCGAAGGGTCAAAACGCCTCGCTTGCACCAAGTAAACCCTAAAGCCTAAACATCTAAGCCTTGGGTACAGCCCGCTCTAAAGAGATAGACTCTGTCTACTTACGCATATTTAGTTCCTAAAACCGTAATCTTTAAGCCATCCTTCAAAAGTGGACAGTATTGGAAGCCTCCAAATCCTAGATCTTAAATCCTAGATCCTAAATCCTATATACACCCCTCATTGTGATTCATGTGTCTGTCGTGTAGTTCCTGTTTCTTTCCAAACGTCGAGTGCAGTGGATCTTCCGGAAGTCAATACAATTGCTGGTTTGTCAACGAAACGATGGTTGTTCTTTGTTGTTCGTTAGGAGCTGCTTAGCGACTGTCAACAGGATTCTTCATTCAGCGGACCAGGAGGAGAGTGACTTTGTGTGTACTGGGTATGTTTCAGGTGTTTGGCGATTGGGGTTAGACAAAGCTCAACCGTAGTTGATTGACAAGCTCTCAGCGCAGACCCGCAGGAGCTAGAGGTTTCAAGAATAACATCAGTTGTTATCCACCAAGCAGTAGCAGCATGGTTTTGAGTCAAGTTATACCTTCGGATTTGGTTCTTGAATCACTTCATATTATATAATTAGGGTTCAGGCTTACACTATAACGACCCAAGACCCGTGTCTGCTGCATAGTTCAAAACCACCGAAGGTGACAGTAACAAAGGAAAGGTATGAAACGGCAAATAAACACCGACGCGAATATTTTGCAGCAAAAGACAGCTGGGACGGGAGGAGCATCGATCGAAATATGCCTAAGTGGATTCAAAAGAAACAATGAATAGTGATATCGCTAATGGAGGGATTCTGCGAGGTGCCGGTGTTTCCAAAGCAAGGCAAGCACGACATTTGGCCTCGCCAATCGCAAACACTAAACCCTCAACCCCGGAGGCCCCCAAACACATAATCAATGTAGGGGCCTTAAAAATTAGAATAGGGTTTTTGGGGCTCCTGATGATTCTCAAAGTAGAATATAACCCCAAACCACGTAGTTCTAATTATTAAGGCACCTACATTAAACCCCGAAAGAGCAGCTCTACTTGGAGGCCAACGATCGCCGAAGCGACCTTTGGTCCCTGGGCTGTGCCTCCTGGCTTTCGTTAAAGGGCTTGGGGGTTTAGGAAGTTTCGGAGTTTTGCGGGTTTAGGGGTTTGGGTTTTACGGCTAAGGGTTTGCCGGGTTTGGGGATAGTTTAGGGTTTTGTACGGTTTAAGATTTCGGGGTGTAGGATTTTTTGTATTTGGGTATTTTGGGAGTTTAGTGTTCGACGTGTGTTGTAGACCTTTAGTACTGGCTTGGGCGTTTCGGGTTTAAGGGTTGGGGGGTTGTGGATGTGGAGTTTTGTTTCTTCGGTGAACATGGCTCATATATATATATATATATATATATATATAGATATAGATATAGATATACATACACATACAATTTTAAGCTGCAGGGTACACGGTTCATCTTGATACCCTTCTTATACGTCTCGTATATATACACACACACAGAGTTAAATTGCACGGTCCAGTTTTCATTTTTTTAGATACCCTGTTCATATGTCAGTATGGTATTTGCGTGAGAGTGTGGTCAACTTCCGGCGTACAGGCCTTCTCCCAGATGCTGCTGGGCGTGCCACCGTTTCATGCCACTTGGCCGGTAGCGCAACAAGAGCCGAAATATTGATATACTCGAATCAAGGTTGCGAGAGCGAGAGAGAGAGATAGAGAGAGAGAGAGAGAGAGAGAGAGAGAGAGAGAGACTGAGGGAGGACGAGGGAGAGAGAGAGGGAAACCGAGACAGAGAGAGCGATCTTGCCCGCCTTGTGTTGGGTGTCGAATACCATGCCGCACGTGACACAGAGCTTCTCTCGAAGAAGAAAGCCGACCCCCAGTCAAAGTCAAGCCAGAGGAAATTTCGGTGGTTTAGAGTGTTTGCGAACATAGACGAAAGGAAGGACGAGTGCGGGGAGGAAACGGAGGGAAAGAGAGCAAGACCGACATGCGGACAGAGAGAGAGGGAGGTTCAATAATGTCTCCCTCTTCTATCCAAAGGCCATGTTTAGGCTTCGGTAATTATGGTTGAAGGTTTGGACTACAAAAGTTGTCTGAAGTCAACTGGACCCTGTTTCTCTGCTTGTTCCGGCTTCTAGCACACAGCACTCTAAGCATGGTTTTGGTGTGGATATCTGCATTACACCTCGGTGCTTTTCACGGAAGCCCCAAACCGAAGATCCAGCATCCCTCAGCTCAAAATACCCCAAAACCGAAACCAAAACTGCTTGGGTTTCGTCAAGGCTGCGACGCCATTCCTGATCCTGGCAAAAGCCCAGGCTCGTGCTGATACCCAGAAATCGGATTATGGTCGCAGCCACACCTAAACGCTAAACCCTAAACCCTGAGTTCTTCTGCTGGGCCCCAGCCCTTGAATCCCAACTCTCTGAACCTTCAAGCCTAAGACCACAGCGCAACCCTGGAGCCAGGCACCATTCCCTTATAGCCCCATTACATAGTGGTACACGCCGGAACTATGTTCTATTCAGTTGGTATGTGTTACTGCTGTTTCTGTTGATATGATCTTCATCTCTATTCTTTTACTAACTACTAAAGCTATAGCTGCTGTTATCGCTAGTGTCATTGTCATTGTTATCGTCATTGCTAGCTTTTGTATTAGCATTCGTGTTAGTATTCTTCGAACTAGCATTCGTCCTGTTACGACTCTGAATCCCTAAACCCTAAATGAGTCGTAGCAACCGTAGGAATATGACTACTACGCTATTCCGGCCCTGAAGGGTCGCCTACCTTGTAATTGTATACATTGATCAAGGCCCCTAAAGCAACCCAACCCTAAACCAAAAAGCCCAAGCCTTCAGCCCCAAAGCCTTAGCCCTAAACCCTAAACCTTGAGCCCGCCCTTGTATACAATGATCATATGCCACCTATAGTAACCCAACCCTAAACCCTAAGGCCATAAGGTTCGCAAGGGCTATCTCTCAGTCCCCCACGTTGTAATTTTATACAATGATGAAGGCCCCGGTAGTAACCCAAAGCCGTGAAACGCCAGGCTGGAAACATCTGGATCCCAGATCGAGGTGTCAGCGACCCATACAAGGAGTGATGGGTGTAGAGCGTAGTATACAATGGGTTCCTGTAAAGGGAGTCTATGAGGGCTACGATAATGGCTAGTATAAGGACAGAATATAGGGCCGAAATAATTACCTATACTATTTGGGGGGGTTCCTTAGTATAGCTATAGTATAATGGGCCCCAGAACGCTATTCTAGTTATCAAGGCCCCTAGATTAGACTGTTTAGAGGCTGTGGGGTTCAGGGTTTCGAGCTTTTTCTGCACGATTTTGGGCTTGGGGGTTTCAGTGTATCTCGTCTCGATTGTGTTTTGGAGTTGGGTGTTCTACTTGTTGTATGTAAGAACTAAGAACTTGTGGGCTAGGGATCGAGGAAAATCAATGTCGAGGTGGAAGCATCGAGCCTTAGGCTGTAATTAAGATTGGGGTCAGGTCTAGGATTCTCGTCAGGGTTTCGGGTGAGGAGCAATTGTTCGCTTCTTCGAGGATGGGCACTCATTCGCGGTCCAAGTGGTTGCTCGGGTGCTCGGTTAAACACGAAACTCTATAAACCCAAACCCCAAGCTCCAAACTCTGAAACCCTATACCCATGAGACTCAACCCTAGACCGTGAAACCCTAGACCCATCTCCGCTTCCTTTGAAGGATCTTGTTCTCCGATTGCTGCAGAAAGGGCCGGAGGACCGGCTCGGCGCTGCTGGCACCCGCGAGGCCCAAGTCCTTTGCCCAAGGGTCCAAAGGACCCAACACTTAGGTACTCGGTTTTAGGATAGTAGTTGTGTAGGTTAGGATTTTGGAGAGTATATGATTATTAGGTACTTGGACCCTTGGGGGATTGCAGTGTCACTTGAAGGTTCATGCGCAGTAGGGTTATAAGTACGATAACTATACATATAACCCATACAAGAGGACTTATAACCCCATGTATAACTACCCATGAACGTTCAAGCAGGATTACATAGCACTGCCATCGTCGTGTAGTACCTAGACTTACCAAACCTATCCATGGTGCCATGAACACCTCAGTTCTAGACTCTCTCTACTTCCAGGGCGCGCGTGGTATGGCTGAAATCTGAAACCTGGTACAGCAATTACTCCAATCTGGTTGCACGTGTGTTCAGCCAGACTTAGCTCTGAAAATCGAGAAAGAGTATCAGTCTCAGCCCGGTCACCTGAACCCTCAAATCTTGAATCTCTATGGACTAACTCTGCATTCCTGAATCTCGCGTAGGTCTCCCCTCACAGCAGCCTACTTCCCAGATTCCCCTTGTGGTGCGAGTTCAGGTGGTGGGGGGGGGAGGGCTTAAGCTGAACAGCCGGGGCGAAAGAACGCACTTTTATTGTAAGGGATTCTGAGGGGTTGACTGAAAGCCACTTTATTGTGTTGTGGTACACTGTAGTGTTCTGGTGTGCCACGACGTACAGCCAGGTGCCATAGTATTGACAATGCTAGAACTATGTGCATGGTAACATGCTTGTTCTACAGGAGAAGCCAGAAAGTTGGAACATCATTATCCTCGTACCCTTCAAGTAAAGTATAGGGAATCCCCCCGCAAATCATCCATGTTCCAAACTTTCTGGGGTTCTCTATACATTAAACGGTTTCAACCTGAACCTTGAACGATGTAAGCAACAGTCCCTGAGAAGCCTCCAGTGTATGCTTCAAAAGGCCATCTGACATCAGGCTAGGCACAAAAGCAGCACTGAAACCCACCACAAAGTCAGAAGAATATGAACTGCGAAGTCTGGCTCTTGAACGCTCTACATACCCTCAAAACCCTAACCTGTTACTGCTTACCCTGAAGCTTTCGTAACCAAAGCCCTGAAACCCAACCCCAATCCCAAAACTCCAAGAACAATGGCCCAAATCCCCAAACCATAAACCCTAACCCAAACCAAACATAGCCATGCATAGCGCAACAAGTTCCCGCCCCTGAATAAAGCGAAACACCGACAGTAACAGCACTAGCAGCTACAAGTAACAAGCAGCAATAACGATCATCAACAGCATTAACAACGATAACACGGGATCCTATTCAGAATAACACTAGAACTCAACGGGTCCAAGTAATAGCATAGTATATACTTTGGTGGCCCAGTTATCTATGAAGTAGCTACTACTTTAGCACTTGGCTTGACTGTTTGGGAAAGTCCTTGCCTGCCAGATCCTGGGTCATCCTGCTTTGTCGACTCCGCCTTTGGTGTATCCAACCTCGCCTCCAGTGGCAGGCATCATATAGAGCTGGAAGTCGGGGTTCGGGGCTTTAGCATCTGATGGGGCGTCATGCTTTTCTTTTGTTTTGCAAGGCTTCAGGGTGTGGGTCGTTTGGGTTTAGACTTCAGGGTTTGCCCAGAGACTCCAATAGCTCTTAATTAAGGAATATTCCTTAAATCATATTAGGGATCCTACATAATTTAAGGTATATTCCTTAATCGAGGGATATTGGAGTCTCTGGATGGGTCCCTGAGTCGCTTCTAGCAAATGGCGTCAGGGTTTGCATTGGAGTCTTCTCGAATGCTACTGTGCGCTTTTGAGGTCTTATGCATGTTTGCGGTTTGAGCTTGGAGCCTTGTAGATCTTGATGATCCCTAAACCCCTATAACCCTAAAACCTTGAGCCCTGAAGCCCTAAAGCCCATAGGACCTTAGGAACCCTAAACCCTAAACCCCGTAGCATAAAATCCTGAGTGTCTTTGAGCTCTAAGGTGCCTTGCGCCTGATTGGGCAGGCGACCATCGCCGAGGCAGGGTTCCTTTAAGGGTTCCTTTAAGTTAGTAAGTAGGTAGTAAGTAGACTTATAAGTACCCTAAAAGGGGCCCTAATTGGGGTTATGGTACTTATAAGTCCCTAAAATAACCAGTTACTAAGTCCCCCGACCCCCCAAGTAAGGGGCCCTTATAGTACTGTTATGGGGGATACTTTCCCGGCCGAGGCGTCCCGGGTCGCACGTCATAAACCCCTATAAGGTCTCCTCCGAGTTGAAGTTCTTTGGGGCTTTAGGGTTTTTGGGTTTAGGGTATGAGATATAGGGCTTCAGGGATTTGGGGTTTATGGGGTTCAAGATTTAGGGTTTTAGGGTTTTAGGGGTAAGGAGTTAAGACTTAGGGCTTTAGGTTTTAGGGTTTAGGAGTTAAGATTTAGGGCTTTAGGGTTTAGGGTTTAGGATTTAAGATTCAGGGCTTTAGGGTTTAGGGTCCTATGGGTTGAGGGTTTAGGGTTTGGCTTTGAAGAGTGGCATATTTGAAGATGTAGGGTTAGGGGTTGGGGTTAATGAGCGTTTATCATGCATTCCAGGACATATTCGGGACGTTTCCCAGGAGATTCGATAGATACGGTTTACCCTAAACCTCAATCCCTAAAACCCTAACCCCCAAACCCTAATTCCCTAATCCCTATAATCCTAAACCCTAAACCCTAATCCCTATAATCCTTAACCCAAACCCTAACCCTAACACCAGAAACCCTAACCAAACCAGGAGCGAACAGGCTCCCAGGCCCCGGTGCCTGCAGGCCGGTTTCTCTGCGCCACCGACACCCTGAGCCCATTTGAGAGTCCTGCTAAGAGGGAATACTTGGAGGTTCATCAAGACTACTTGGAGGTTCATGAGTAGTTATAAGTGGGGTTATAAGTCCCCTAATATGGGGTACAAGTATAGTTACCCTACTTTATAACCCTACTTATTCCTACCCATGAACCTCCAAGTAGGGTTTAGGCTTTACAGTTGAGGCGTTTGGAGCGTAGCCATTTCACTTTAAACTATACTTTTAGTTATCAGACTGCACAAAACCCTAAACCCTAGCGAAGCCACCAAAAGGAAGTGGCCCAAAACCCATGAAAGGCCATCATACTATTGGGGTCCAGTCAAATCCTGAGCCCGAAGTCTCCCAAGGTGGACGCAGCGCTTGCAGCAGACGAGGCGCCGGAAGGCGCCGACAGCTGTCGTCAACCACCTCTCGCTTTAACAGGCTCTCTAATAGACGGGCCTAAATAATTACCAACACCATTTTGCGGGTTGCTTAGCGTGTTCATATTAGAGCATACATAGCCCAAAACCCTGTTCTAAAAAATCAAGCCCTTCTCTGACAACCCTGGGCTTCTATGCTAGGGTTCAGGGTATGTAATCAGCTCTGAAGCCCTGAAGACCTATCTCTTAAGCAGCCCGGTTTCTGAGGTGCGGTACTGTTTTGGAGCCACCATCATATGACCGTTCTCACATCTTTTGACGCAGACGACCTAAACATCCCTGTGCCCTACATTGCTGGCTTTCCACCACTTAGAAGATATGTAGAGGGTTCCATGGCTACTGAGGTACGTCTCGTTCATTATGCTCTGCTCTGATTCAGTATTACTCGTGCTGCTCGCTAGACCGAAGCCCAGTTGTACCTTCCATAGCCCTCTTCACGTGCACTTCGCTGTAGTAATCCTAGTAGCACGAGTAGCAGCAGCAGCAGCAGTCACAAGAGTAGCAATGCAGCCCCCAGGCCATTTGGACGCGGGACATGGTATTTACACCAAGGATGCTTGAGGTGTGTAACGGTTGACGTAACATATACTTGCAGCATCAAGACTCAGCACAATCATCATCGAACTTACATAGTATCACTCGTAGTATCTCGTAGTCGTATCATAAAAAGCTAAGTCCTTTACGTAAGCAGTCACACTCAATCCCTAAAGCCCTTATCCCTTAGACCCATAAAGCGTATAATATAAGTCCTTAAATCCTAATTAAAGCCTCAGCAAGTAAATACTGGTAGCAGAGGCCGTTGAATCATCCTCCGCACAGGTCCTGGCGCCGTGGCGAGCCATTCAGTACCCGGCTTGGCGACAGAGAAGCACCTCGTTGCGCAGCCCTAAACCCTAAATCCTACACCCTAAATCCTAAATCCTAAACCCTAAACCCTAAATCCTAAACCCTAAACCCTAAATCCTAAATCCTAAACCCTAAACCCTAAATCCTAAACCCTAAACCCTAAACCGGGATGGTTTAGGATTGAGGGGTTTAGGGCTCCAAGCCCCCGAAGCCCTAAAACAACAAGTGCAAAGTCTTCTAGGATCCCCGGAAGAGCTCGATACGCTTAGCCCTTAGGGTTTAGGGTTTAGGGTTTGGATCCATTCGTTGAAAAATTTAGGATACAGAAGGAGCTCGATACGCTTAACCCTGAACCTTACGTATGACTTGGATAACTGCCCATCCCTAAGGGTCCATGTGCCCATATGGAGATACATGAGTCCCAATGTACCTATATAGGGACTACATTAAGGCCAATGTATATACTATATGAGTACATGGACCCTTAGGGCATCTGCATTCTGAGCTGAGGTTGCTGAAGGAACTTCCGAAGTGCTCCCAGGCCATCGTGCATGCCCTTGCTTGGTTATGGGACGTGGCTACATAAACCCCCAAAAATAGGTGAAAGAATGGCCCAACACCCTATAAAGGGCTATTGTTCTACAGACTTTTGGGGTCCAGATACAGTCTCTGTGTAGTTCCCTTTGGTGGTTGCCTTGTTTCAGTACGGATCCGGACGGTAGAGCTGGGCACCAGAACCGGAGCTACAGTTAAGACCGTGACCATGAGTAGAATGGGGTCTACCGGTCTCGCGTTCCTAGACCCTAAACCCTAAACCCTCACATAAAGACCAGCAGCGAGGAGTGTAAGACCGAGGTGAAGACTGAACTTGTGGGGGTAAGGGCGATAGGGCATTAGGGTTTAGGGTTTGGGGTTTAGGGTTAGGCCCTGAAATATTCTGAGAAGGCCTATTCCTTAGGTGAGCAAGGGAGCACCTGATACGGGGAATGTTAACAAGGCCCCTTTGCCGTCCATGGTTTAGATTTAGTCTCAGGTTTCAGGGTTTGTGCCTTCTGTTGTTTTTTTCCTGACGGATACCTGACGCCCAGTTATAGCTCGTTAACTCGTATCTGTTCGAGAAAGCTCCCAATGTGTCGTGTAGCGGGTTTAGGAATGATTGTTTGCAGAACAGCCTGAGCTTACTGTGGAGGAGCCCGGAAGACAACAATAGCAAGCAAACGTGCGACTTTAGGGAATGAGAGTTTGAGGACGACAAGGTTTGGGGATCGATAAATGGATGAGGCACCAGATCTGCACAAATCGGCAACACCCCGGCTCGGCAAGGTGCTGTAGTCAGACTCTTGAACAACGGCCATGGGCTTCAAAGTAACATATGGGCCTGAACAATTACCAATATTATTGTGGGGGGTTCCTTCTTATAACTACAGTATGATGGGCCCCAAAACACTATTCTAATGATTAAGGCCCCTATATTGGAGATGCTGCAGGCGGCAGATACTGTTGGCAAGCTGGTGGAAATCGTGAAGTTGGTTAAGGAGAAGGCACCCTGGCTCCTTTGCCTTGGGTCTGGTTGGAGGTTCATGGGTAGTTATGAGTAGGGTTATCAGTAGGATAGCTATACTTATAACCCACATTAGGGGACTTCTAACCCCACTTATAACTACCCATGAACCTGCAGGTAAGATTCTCAGCGTATACGTTACGAGGCTACAGATCCCTATACGTATGCACGGACTCCTCCCGAATCCTTCCCATGGAGGAAGCTTATGACCGTCGGGTCGTGCGTCGTGAAATCTACAGTATGCATGCATGCTTGTCGCATGCGGGTGTATTTCTGCACCTTGTTTGTGCTGCTGCTTGTGGGGGGGGGGGGGGGTCATGACGTTGAAACTTCGGCAGGAAATAGTAGATTGAAAGTGACACTGGCGAACACACCGAAAGTGCCACACTTGTCACACGCAGCAGAGTTTAACATAAGATGACGAATCTACTGAAGCAGCCCGTCACGTTATATATAAGTATGCATCCCTCTAGCCTCTATCTATCTGTGTGACGGTCGGTGTGTTTGCCTACCTGTCTGTCTGTCTGTCCTTGGGTCTGTCAATCGATCCCTATCTTTCAGGTCCATATTAGATATGTCTATGTGTATTGCTTGTCACCGATCATGTACCATATGCAGTGCTTCGAGCTCGGCTCTCCTGCAGAGTTCGTGATATTTCACTCTATGGAACTATCAGACTGAGCTCCATCAGCAGCTTTGTGAAAGGACGGTTTTTAACATTATGGGTTGAGAGTTCTGGGTTTAGGCTTTTCGACTCAAACTCATCCGGGATCGAGGATCGGCCGATGAAGTGCCTCGATTGTCTCTGTTTGCTGAGGGCTTTCGGAGAAGTTGTGCAGTCATGTGCTGCAGTCTGGTTCTGTTTCCAGGATTTACGGAGTAGGGGGCATCATTAAAGAGCCCTAAACCCTCTCAGCAGTGCTTCCCAAATTTGTGATCCCTTGGAGGACCCTACAGCCTGATGAAATCCCCGAGCTCCAAACAAATCCTTGCTTGATACGTTTTCCCTCAAGGGTCCATGAACTCATAGTATATACATTGGCCTTAGTGTGATCCCTATATAGGTACTTTGGGCCTCATGTATCTCTTTATGGGTACATGCACCCTTAGGGTTTCGTACGACTCTATAGACAAGTTCCAGGGGATTCCAAAGACTTATTGTTTCAAGGGTCATACCCTCTAAATAAGGGGTCATAACCTATTATCTGGTAGGGTTTGGAGATACAGGCTTTGACAAACCGAAGAGGCTATGGCTCTTTTCAACGTATCTTTTTGGGAAGCTTCGCGTACGGGCGTGCAACGGCGCGGGAAACAGACCCCCAGGAAACATAGTAGATAGTAGACAGCTTCTCGTGCCTATACTGAATCCCTTGAATTACGAGCAGAAAGATTCTGGTGCCATAAGACGGAAACCTCTGAACCCTGAACCATAAATCCCTAACCCCTGACCCCCTCACCCCCAAACCGCTAAACCGACTTATGCCCCCCAGCATTCCTGTTCGGGGAAGCGGCTAAAGCGAGATGCAAGATGCAAGAAACCCTGAACCCCTAATTTACTTTAGGTTAGCAGGGAATGGAAGAATGGTAGTAATAGTAGTGGTAATTGTACCCCATTCCTCCATTCCAGCCTAACCAAAGGCAAGCTAAGCCCTAATCCCTAAATCCGTAAACCCTAAACCCTCAAACCGCAAACCCTAAACCCCTAAACTCTCAACTGTGAACCCCTAAGCCCTAGTCTTTCTCTTCAGGGTCTTTCTGCCGATCTGGGCCCCGAGCTGGCGCGGGAGGCGGAGCAATCTCAGGCCGTGCCTTTACTGGACGCTTCGAGGTTTGGGGATTGGGGCTTAAGGCTTTAATGTTGGCCGTTTGTGTGGTTCAAGGTTTAGGGCTCCGGGTTTCGAGTAGGGCTTTGGGGTTGAGGTTATCGTAAGATGTCGGTATGCTGCTTCGTGAGGCTTTCGAAGCTTGTTTAAAGTGCGGGGTCTGTGGTGTTAGAAGGAAGTCAAATTAAATCCTTTCACAAGAACCCCGGATTTATCCTGGGTTCCACACGCGTAGGCGTGACGGATCTGGGCTTAGGACCAGGGAGTCTCCCAGCTATTGGCTTGCAACGAAGCTCTGCTACCTCAACCGCATTGCAGAGATTGTCCTTTCTGCAAAGCCAACCACTGGAGTACACCGTAAACTCTTACTCCTTTGACCCTTAACAGTGAAGACTAAGCCTATTCGAGGAGAATGCCTTTGCAAGCATTTCGGCACTCATCTCGTTCTGAAGGAGCAGGCCTGAGGGTCCGAAACAAGTAAGTAAATCATTTTAAGTCTGGGTTTCGGCTTTATTGCTCTGGGTAGTAAAGTAGATCCCCTACTGTAGGGACTCTAACTATACTACTAGGGTGTAGGTTTTTGGATCAAGGAACGCTACTAAAGGGGTACTTTGTAGGATCTCTAAACCCTAAACGCTCCACCCTAAACCGTTTACTAAACCCTAATTCCCCCAGCCGAGGCTGAGTTGGGCGACTGCCTGCTGACTCTGCAGCGCTTCGGGGCCCTTCGCCTGCTCTTCAGAAACCAACTGCCAGGGTTTAGAGCTTAAGATTTGGGTTCAGGGTTTGGGGCCTAGGGTTTAGGGCTTCAACATCAGCTCTTGGGCTTTCCTAAAGCCTTCCCCTAAAGCCTTCCTGGACCCCAAATAACCTACCTTTTTAGGGCTCTTTAACATGACTGTTTAAAACAAGTTCTTAAAACGGTAGGGTATTTGGTGTTAAGGTCAACCCTAAGTCAAGTTCTGCACCCTAAACCCCGAACAGGACCTTTTTCTATCTCACTCTCTCTCTCTCTCTCTCTATCTCGCTCTCTCTCTCTCTCTCTCTCCCTCTCGCTCTCTCTCTCTGAAGCTTGAATCCTACACTCTAGGCTGGCTAGGACCCGAAGCCCTTAACCCCAAATCCTCAAACCGCAATGAATCTAAGACCTCGTAAGTAGAGCTCATGTCCCATCTTCAGTACCCTTACAACTTGGGGCTTTTGGTTCAAGCTTGCTTTGTCTTTTCTTGGTTTGAGCTCATTGAGGGTTTGGGGCTTCCCTCAAAGGTTTCAGTTTTTGTTGGGCTCTGGCTACGGAGTTTCTACGGCTACGCCTGGGCAGGCCCATTCCCTGAGGACCAGACAGAAGAAACGCACGCCCTAAACCCCAAAATCCTGCCAGCCCCGGGGCCAGCTTCTTATCCTTGATGGTTTAAGATTTACCTCCGGGTTCACTAGCTTGTTAAGGATTATATATATATATATAGAGAGATACAGATATAGATACAGGTATAGATATGTGTGTATATGTATATATTGCGTTGCTCGCCAAATCTCATCAAAACTCAAGCATGGGTCATGTACCCATCCTATATGCCGAGGAGGTGGCCCAACAGCGGTGGAAAGACATCAAGGCAATCATATTCGGAATGGGCAGTTGTGGGGCGGAACGGCTTCCACCATCACGGACTACCAGTAGTACGAGATGAGAAAGAAGACTGGGTGTCCTGTCACATCTAGGTACTTCTCGGTCTGGGTCTGGGCAGAGTCTAGGCCTTGTACTTTATACGGATTTTCTTAGAGTTTCTAGTTTGATAATTTATGAGGGTTCAGGGTGTCTAGGTTGCATAATGTATAAGGGTTTAGGGCTTGGAGTCCTACCCCAAAGCCTGACTGCGCCTTGGCCTCAGTTTGTAGGTCACCTGTCGTGCTTCGCCTTCCGGGGATCCTTTGAACCCTTCTGTGCTCGGCATCCTTCACCCCAAGGATGCAACCTATATAGTATATACTCAGGCCTTACAGTAGTCCCTATATAGGTGCTTTTAAGGCCCAATACTATATGGGTACATCTGGGTACATGGAGCCTTGGGGTCAGGGGTAAGGATCCCTTCGTGCTGTGAGCGCCGAGATCCGTCAGCTCCAAAGGAGGAGGTGAAGTTTCCCGACGCCAATTCGGATTCGGACGACGAGGGGGAGGAGGAGCTTCATGGAATTATGGGTAGTTATAAGTGGGGTGCAGGGTCCTTTAAGTAAGGGTTCCATAGGGTTTAGGGATTAGGGTAGTTTTAAGTGGGGTTAGAAGTTCCCTGCATACTTATAACCCATGAACCTCCAAGGAGGAGGAGGAGGAGGAGGAGGAGGAGGAAGAGTTGGGCTTTCACGGTGCAGCGGGGTTCGGGATCAGGTTGTGTTGGTTCAGTTGTCCGATCTTCCTAAACCCCAAACCCCGACGCTCAACCCCTTAGCCTTCTTAAGTGAAGACATATTTCTAAACCTACACCCACAATCCTGAACCACCTAGGCAGCGTCGGATGCCCTTGAGTTACAGTCGCACTGCAATTTGAGAAAAGAAACCCATGAGCTCGAAGCTTAGCTTCAAGAGGCTCCCGGAACTTGATGACCCTAGTATCCCCTAAACACCCCGAACCCGAAAGCTCTTCTAGGGGTACATAGGGGAAAACAGCTGAACCGTAAACCTCTGAGGAGGAAGAGAAGAAGAAGGAGGCGCAAGACGTGAACCCAAAGGCCTCGACGAACACCGAAGGCGGGTCATAAAAGGCTAGGATTGGTCCCCGTGATTAAAACCGAATAGTAATTAAAAAAAGGTACCCTTTATGACGGGGCTAGGATTCTATTCTACGGTCCCCCTGATGAAAACCGAATAGTAAAAAAAAAAGTACCCTTATTATGAAGGGGCTACTTGGAGGGTCGGGGGACTTAGTAAATAGGTAGTAAGTAGACTTATAAGTACCCTAAAACGCGACCCTAATTGAGTTATGGTACTTATAAGTCCCTAAAAATAACCTGTTACTAAGTCCCCTAAACCCTAAACCCTTATAGAATCCCTATAGATCCCTTTAAAGGACCCCTTTAAAGTTACTAAGTCCCCCGACCCTCCAAGTACTCAGGGACTAGAAGGGTTTCCGTTCAAGGCTCAGGTCGGCACCGGGAAAGTCAAGGTCGTCATACTCGCAAAGCCCCAAGAAAGCCCGGCAGCCCAACCACTCAAACCCAAAGGGTCCAAGTATCATTATGGTATATACTTATAGGGTATTTGGGGGGTCTAAGTATATACCATAATGATACTTGGACCCTTTGGGAAACATGCAGCCCTACAGCCCGCAACCTGAAAACTTGAAGCCCGACATCAGCCCCAGCATTTAAGTTGCATTCTGTGTCCCACTGTCGCAATGCTTCAGCTCAGATTTACACTCCCATTTTTCAACGCGACATGCCCCGGTAACCTCCTAACCGCAACTACACAAGGACCCTCCTTGTACCCTCAAATAGGGGTATATGGTCCCAAATAGTGGGTACTTAGGGTTTAAATAGAGGGTAGATGGAGGGTCTAGGCAAGCAGTCATTCCTGGGATGAAGCAGCCAGCCTGAAACTCGCACGGGTGGAATTCAGCCAGGGAAACTGCCCGATTGTGGCCTGAGCGACCAAGTACGTGTGCAGATAGATTTCTAGACGGTAATGCACCTATAAGTATGGACGTATGCATGCATGCCTGCGTTTGCGCGCGTGCGGGAGCGTGCATGTGTCTTGTTTGCTTGCTTGCTCCTTGCTTGTTTGCTTGCTTGTTTGCTCGTTCGTCGGTCGATTGGTTGGTTGGTGGTTGTGTGTTTAGTTGCTTGTGTGTTGGGTGCCTGCCTGCATGCATGTACAAACAAATAAGCATGCACCGAAATTGTCAGCATCCCAAGTCAGAACAGCGCCAACACTTTCTTAGGGTTTAGGGTTTAGGGTACCCAGCTGTACAGTATGTCCGTCCCCTGCGACAACAGAGGCCTAGCTTCAAATGCGCCTTGCCCAATCTTCAGTTAGAACAATGCAGGGTGGCGCACGGCTTAGATATGCTGCTTCTGAGATTCTGAGATCCACGGAAATCTGAGCTTCATGGTTACATTGAACCCTATAAACCCCAGGCCCTAAACTCTAAACCCTATAAACCCTATATAAGCCCTAAACTGTGTAAACCCTAGGCCCTAAACCCAACAAGCCCCAAGCACCTCCACCTACCAAGTCCTAAAGAGGGTGCACTGTAGGGGCCTTAATTATTAGAATAGGGTTGTTCCACATGCAGAGTCTGCGGCTTAGGGATTGTTGTATAATCTTTCTTCGAACATCTGTGCCCATGGAACGAAAGGATCCACGTCTTCTGAACTCGGGCACAAGTTGACCGTCCTAGGTCGATATTTCATGCCACCTAACATTCACCGAAGATCTGGCAGGGGAAAGACAAGCATCATCGATCCCAGGTACAGCCACGTAACATGGGACCCGGACGAACTATGTTTTTGCTTGTAGTCCCTATGGCCGTACATCGTCAGACATCATCCAAAAACCCTTTTCTAGATATGACCCCTACATTGGATTCTTGCAGGTGTCGTCCCCACTGGCAGTGCCCTGAAAGGCACTCTGCCCTGACGGTGGTCCTCGTGTAGGGTTTAGGGGCTTTCGGCTCCGAAGGCAAATCAGGTCGTTTCCCAACATAGTTGTACAACTAAACGACAGCCTTATGACTGTGGTGATGATAAGCCGAAAAAGGGGATGAGACATTACATTCAGCGACGTCGACTAAACGGGAATAGACACGTCGGAAAGCAGTGCACCGCGCTGCAATGAAAGTTTCAAGATCACGAACTGCGATGATGGAAACTTCACTGCTACGTATGAGCTTGTCCAAGCGCACGAGCCTGAACCCTTAAAGGAAACCCTAAACTGCTTTGAGTTACATTTAGAGCCAAAGCTGCGCCAACCGGAAGACTATGAGGCCCCTTGTGGCCTAAACCCCTCCATGCAGAATCCCAAGTATGGGTCGGGAGATCATACGCACCCTTAGGGGTGTAGGAGGGAGTGGGGTAGGGGACCATACTTCCTAAATTAGGCCCTTGTTAGGTCCTTATTATGGGCATGCCCAAAGGCTCCATGTACCCTTATAGTAGATACTTAAGCCTTAAAGGGGTCCCTATATAGCTACTTTAAGGCCTAAGTATATACTATAAGGGTACATGGAGCCTTAGGGATGAAGGCCCCCCCCCCCTCCCCCTACCTCCCCAACCCAAGGGTCCCTCTGAGGAGAAGGTGCACGATCCGTCTGGACTTCAGGATTTAGGCCTAACCTTCAACCATGACCCCAGGCCCTGAAATACCCCGAAAGTCCCAAAGAGTCCAAGTAATAGTATGGTATATACCTTGGGGGCTCAAAATTTGCTAAGTATCTAGTGGAATAATACTTGGACCCTTTGGGAGTATGATCAGTGTCCTTGATTTAGGTGCCTTCCACTCCCTTGTGCAGGCAAGTGGTCCACTTACGCGCAGCTGGCGAAGACCGTCACGAGCGTGATCGACCCTCGCTAGCTCTTATAAGGCCTCTTTTGCTACATGTGGGGCAAGGATATGAGCTGCCTAAACCTCAGGTTGATCACTAGTGAGATGCCACTTGCAAATCGACAGAAGCATCGAAACTTGCACAGACTTTTTGTGGCCAATGGAGCATGAGATCTTAAGATGTGTTCAGTTTGATCTTTACGGTTGCTCTTTTGGCGGTAATTCAAGGCTTCCCCAAATTGGCTCACCTTAGTCCGTTGCAGTCTTTGTCGCGAGATCCGAACTTGTGGTTCGTGTTTGAAGTCGCGCGTTTTTTTTAGGAGGTTTCCTGCAAGTGTAAGATGTCGGGATTGGTTTATGTCGGGATTGGTTTAAGTGTTTACGGACCGATTTTGGAGCTGTGTTCTTGTTAGGGGAGGGGGTATGTAAACCCTAAACCCGAAGCGCTAAACTCAAGGCAAGTAAACTGTTGAACTCCGATGACAAAGCAGCACCCGAGGAGGAACCGAAGAAGCCGCTTGGACAGGGGCACAGCTCAACTATTGTCTGGGCTCTTGCTAAGGATCTTAGTTTAATTTACCATATTAGGGATCTTTAATAAGCAATATCGTTTCGTTATTATGGTAACTCATAATACATTAATTCCCTTCACACAAACCACCTTAGGGTTGAGGGTTTAGGGCCGGTATGGTATAGGCATTCGCGGTGTTAAGTTCTCGGGTTTAGGATCTAGCGTTTCGTCATTCGGGTTTGAGAGTGTGCTTCGTGCATGTAGTCTGTTTGGGGTTGCGGTTGCAGGCTGGAGGGTTTAAACTTAACTCATGTGACATAGTCGTTTTTTCCCCACAATCCATGAACCAACCCTAAACGCCATCCCTAGATTGTAAAACCCCAAGCAAAACAGCAAAACCCCTAAGCCCTTAATCCTACTGAAGGTCGCCCCAGGATCGGCGTAAGCCGGGTTTCAGCCCAATATAGACTTCTGAATCAGTAGGAGTGTTCTGCTCTTACCGTCCCTTTCAACCCCAAACCCAAGACCATATCCTATTATTAAACCGTAACCCTCAACCCCAAACCGTTCAGGCCGCTAATTACGAGGTCAGGAATCCTGTGGCTTCGTTTTTTTGTTGGATGATGGTGAACTCTGATTCTAAT